AGAATGGAAACATGACCCAGGTTCAGACTACGCTGGTGGCCCTGGCAGGTCTGGTATGTATATGTCTTTAATGGCTGAATTTAAAAGTCCTACCATGTTGGTGATGAAGTGAGTCTTTTATTTCCCATGGGAATGCAGACTCCTTCATAATGATTAGCTCTGTGGAAAGGCTGCTGACATCAGCTGCCTCATAAGAGAGCTTAATCAGAATACATTTTGGAGCTACATGTATAGTAATGGCCTTAAGTAGGTGTTTCACCGCTAGTTTGAGAATTTATTACCTAATGTAAGCCTTTATCTCTGGACGGTATCATTTCTTTCTTGTTCCTTCTGTGAAAAAACCGATGACAGAATCTCCATTTCAGTCTTCCTTTTTAGTTAGTATGTGAATTTCTGTCTAGGCTAAAACAAAAGGATTCCATACAACCATTGACATTGGAGTCAAGTATGCCGAAAAACAAACAAGACGTTTTGATGAAGGAAAATTAAAAGCTGGCCAAAGTGTAATTGGTTTGCAGGTAAGTAACGTGTTTACTGCTTTCATCAGTCACTTCTTTAGTATCATTAATTCTTACTATGTGCAGAGGGGTCTCTCATGAGTAAGGGATGGATAAGGTATACCTTTATGTAGGTTTTGGGGATGAATATATAGTTTATATAATTTATGTCCATTTAAAGCCCATGAGATAGTGATGATGGTTTTAGAAGAAACCTCTGGAAACCTCCGGCATCCCTTCAGACTCGACAGTTGTTTCTCTAGGAAATGATTTTCTCCCTAATTACGTTGTCTTTATTTTTTAAGAAAATGTACTTTACAAGTTCCTAAACATTATTGACCAAATGAGGCCATTTTACAAAGCCTTAATGCCCAAGGCATTTACTTGCACGATTCAGTAGCCAAGTACTAGTAGAAATATTTAGTTCAGGTTTGTGTTTTTTGTTTTTTTTTTCAACTCCCCCCTTAAAATCACCACTGCTCAATGTCTAATATGCTAAGGACTTTACTATGTCTGATACCTGCCCCTCTGTTGACTGAATCTATGTGAGGTGCATTTAATTTTGTACAGAACGAAATTATATCTGTTTAAGAAACTGGAAACCTGAAATTCCAAACAGTAGTCATTTGGTTAAATTATAACAACAAAAAGAAACTCTAGAGTAAGGTAATAATGACGGACAAGAATTCCAAGATGAAGGAAAACAAACCAGGTTATAAAATACTGCAGTCTGTGGGATCACAATTTTAAAGACGCACATGCATATATTTGTAGGCGTGGCTTTTGTATGCACGTGCTTGATATACACATAACAGAAGATAAGAAACCTAGAAGGAGATGCACAGATGTTTACAGCTAATATCTGGGTGGTAGGATTGCAATGATTTTTTTCCCTCCCTTTTAAGGAAAAAGACCAACAGAAATGTGTCCCCAACCAATAGAACTGGGTGTACCAGTCGGTCTTAAAGCCATATTCTCAGTGGAGAAGAGAATTATTGTTCCTCTGAACTTTATGTTCCTGATTCCTTCTATGTGCCTCTTTTCCCACAAAGATGTTGGTGATTTTAATGAAACTTTAAAGAAGCCCTTGTTGAGCTGCCAGAGAAGACACCTGGCATTTGCTGTCAATGTTTTCTGTAAACATCTGGAGTAGAGAAGCATAGGGCCTTGCCTGAGAGTGCATCTGTCCCTTTATATGGCTGAAGCAGGTACCCCCTGACTTGCTTCTCTCTGCTGTAGACAGTAGAGAGGAGCAGAGGAAATTAATTATCCATAATTCTGCCCTCTAAAAACTTGATGGAAATTTTCTTTTTAAAGTGAGCACCTTGAAATTTGCGAGAGCATAGAGATTTTGTATCTTGCTGGTCTCAGCACAAAAAGGGACCTGTCCGTCTTACCCCTCGATCTTTTTAGTAGAACAGAAAGTTTTGCTTATCATAGATGTTGTGGACTTCAGATAACCAGTGCTCATTTAATTTTTAACTTAAAAGATGGGAACCAACAAATGCGCCAGCCAGGCGGGTATGACTGCCTATGGGACCAGGAGGCATCTTTATGATCCCAAAATGCAAACCGATAAACCTTTTGACCAGACCACAATTAGTCTGCAGATGGGCACCAACAAAGGAGCCAGCCAGGTAAGCAGTGTCTTTTCATATTTGCTACAAAGAGTACAGAAGGACTATTTAAATGAGCACTTACCTCATTCTTATTAACTAAGTTCAGAGGAGGGTGTTTTTGTATGGTGTATTTAGTGAGTATACTCCTTCAGGAAAGTAGGTTTTGCTGAGAAAGCAAAAGAATCAGAGGACCTTTTTTGCAGCAACACAAATATGGTGTGTGGCTCATGGCCTTTGTTGGCAGTTAGAACAGCCAGCCTTTCTACCTAACTAGAAGAAAAAAGATAAGTTTATTACGGCCAGTTTAGTTCTTGCTCCAGGTCTAAGTAAGTTGCTCATTCTAATGCCTCGGACTCTTATTTTTATAGGATCCCTTAATTAACTGGGTAGGTACAATTATCTGGTGTTCTGAGAAGGATTCAGCCAGCATCCCTGTTAACTGTGTGACTGGAGTGGGTGGAATTGTAGCCTGAGGAGGAGGCTGGTATTCTGACACCCTGCCAGATGCAAGTACATCCTTGTTCGAAACAGAGCAGCCGCCCCTCACACGGAGGTTCCCTTAACTACTGGGGAGCAGGCAGGCCTCCTGTCCAACAGGAGTGGAGAGAAGCTGTGGAAAAGCTTTTTCCTCAGGACCACAAGATGAGGTGTGTTGTGTTCCCTTCCTGGAACACGTCCTGCCCCATGTGGCATTGTCTCTCAAAGCTGCCATTCAGGTCTGCTTTTTTACCAGTTAAGTCTGGAAGTGTCTGCTTGGCATAAATGGAGAAATGAGGTGTGAGTTAACTGCACTCATGGCTGGCTTTTGGAGACTGAAGTCCTTATGGGCTGGCTGGCATCATTTCTGTGGAATGTGTGAAGAGCTTCTCAAGTCGAGGGCCTGCAGAGTGTATGTGGTCCTAGTAGGTACTAGGACCTGTAGCTTTCCAGGCTGCCCACACTAGGCTGTGTTTTTACATTTTTTACTTAACATCTAATCCTCTCACACATCTGAAGTGGGTGGTATAACATCTAATCCTCTCCCACATCTGAAGTGGGTGGTATTTTCTCCATTTGCGTACGAGAAACCTAAAACTAAAAGTCAGCTAGTTTGGTGAGGATCTGAACTGAAAGGCTGGTCTAACCTGAAAGCCAGTAAGTACTGCTTCCTAGGAAAGATTGGGCATCAGGATTACTCGATAAGCTTGCTTATTGAGCTGTTCCCATTCAGTGTGAATTTCATAATTTATAGAGTATTCATAAGAACAGACTTGAGCTGCAGTTTTCACTTTTCTCCTCTGTTCTAATACCAGGCAGGGATGTTAGCACCAGGCACCAGAAGAGACATCTATGATCAGAAGCTAACATTACAACCGGTGGACAACTCGACAATTTCTCTACAGATGGGAACCAACAAAGTTGCTTCCCAGAAAGGAATGAGCGTGTACGGGCTTGGGCGGCAAGTATATGATCCCAAGTACTGTGCCGCTCCCACAGAACCGGTCATTCACAACGGAAGCCAAGGAACAGGAACCAATGGGTCTGAAATTAGCGATAGTGATTATCAGGCAGAATACCCAGATGAATATCATGGAGAGTACCAAGATGACTACCCCAGAGAGTACCAATACGGCGACCAAGGCATTGATTATTAGATTGATACAAGGAGCTCAGTATTTACCCCATTGTTTTTATCCAGTGAGAACCAAGCTAGCCTTGAGTAATTTTTATCTTGTCTTCCTAAAACACTATTACGCTTATTGTACCTAAAAGAAATATTGCCTTACACACATTCCCTTTTCCTTTTTCTGCCTCTTCCCTAAATAGTTGCCTTTTAGTGCTGTAACAGTTCAATCCTACAGCAGAAGCAATAACTCGCATATGAAGTAAAAAGGAATACTGTGAAAGGGGAGTACGCTTGTACAGCCAATTCTCTTATCCGAGACCTATGCATTTTTACAATCTACTGAATAAACTGGGATTTTCGAACAATAGGAAGCTTTTTTTTTTTTTTTTTTTTAAACAGTTTAGTGTTTGGTTTGGTTTCTACGTGGAGGACTAAACTCATGCTTAGAGCTACATGTGGTCTTCGCCAACTAAATTTAAGACACAGCATTTTAGAAATTTACATATCAATGTCTCTACAGTATTGTTTGCTAATTTTTAAATAAAGTCCTGATCCGTGTGCATTTGTGATCATACGTGTACTCATTCTGTTCCCTACGCTGACAAGATCTTTTCCGGGCGGTGTTTCTAAAGGAGCGCGTCCAGCATCGGCCCGCAGACGCTCAGGTCTGGGCGGTGCATCCGCTCTCCCTGTTTGTGCCAATGTATCGATGTAGAGTTGCTCTGTGCTCTTCAACTGTATTTATTGCTGCATTTCTCAGCATAAACTTATCCCATTGTATTTTTTATAAATAAATATTTTTTTTGAACATTCATACGAGCCACAGGCTGATTATTTTCTGGCTGACTTCCAGGTAGGTGAAGGCAGATTTTAAAACGTCCTCTTTCCCCAGGTGCTGGTCTAAACTGCCCTGTCACTGCTCTTCTGAATCCACACAACGACATACTCTGTGCCTGAGACCGAGGCTTAGCAAACGGAAAGGACCTGCCCGCCATACATGGTCAGTGACTGCCAAGGTCCAGACTCTTCTTTGACCATGATCTGACCCTTGCTTATTCCACGGAGACACACTTGCCTCCCGTTCATCCGAAGTCCAGCCTGGAACAGCCTCCACATCGCACTGAGGAGCGCTGGTGGGGACCAGGTGGGAGTATTTTATATTCCTAAGTGAATAAATACTCGTAAGGAGCCGCTGAATTAGGAACAGGATCTACTTTTATGGTATTTTTTGGTGTTCTAATGGCTAAACAATAATGACGAAAATGAAAAAGAATAGGGTCCATCAGCCTTACCATTTATTCTGTGAATGGCTCTTAGAAGAAGGCAACTTTCCAGGGACAACTAACCAACAGGCACCTATCACATCACGGGCTGGAGTTCCGCTCCCTCCTCGTTCCTCGATGTGTGCTCAGCACCCTGTGCCCTCACCGCGTTCACTCTGTTGATCCTTTTCACAAAACTCTGAAAAACGAGAGAATGAGTGTTTTGGCAAACACTTGACCATATTGTTTAGGGGAATTTCAGCCTTAAAAGTTTCCCCTGTTGAATTAAAATATTTTAGGGGATAGATGTCCAAGTGGATTTTTAATCAGGAAAGTACAAGTTGGAGAAAGAAACGCCAGTTAGCTTCCTGCCACCATCAGAAACCATTTCCTTAGGGTACAGACAACTAAAGTGCTATTGTATTTTTAGGTTTTATATGGAGGAGGGTGAGAATACATTTAACTTTAAACCCGAGAAGTGCTTGTTAAACTTCAGGGCCTGGCTGACCCGAGGAGTGCTCTGTATGTTGCTTAAAAGCCAAAGGACTTTGGGGCACCGCAACTCTTGATCTTAGGGTTGTGGGTTTGAGCCCCATGCTGGGTAGAGAGATTACTTAAAATCTCAAAAAAAAAAAAAAGCAAAAGGGCTTTAACATCTTTTATGGCACCAGAGTGGAAGAAAATGACTAAAAACATCACTTGACCCAGACAACACACAGGCTTCCTTCAGTTGTTAAAATATCCCTGTCTACACCTGATAAGACAAATAAGCAACGACTGTGTTGGAAACAGCTGCCTGCTCTTTCCAGATAGAAGTGGTGTGGGACTTGACAGGTTGCGGCTTTTCCTGGGTGGGCCTCGGTTAACAAGGGGCCTGAGGACCACAGATCTGTGGATACTGGCACAGAGGGTGCCACGTGTGTCCCCTAAAACAGAGGGGTGACATGATGCTTGAGGAGGTGAGAAAGCTTTGGAGAAAGATCAACTGTTAAACCTCCAGGCCACCCAACAGGCCAGACCAAGCCTGTAGCACCAAAGGGACTTGGCCTGCTGTGTCCAGAAAGCCTGCCCAAGGCCATGTGGTCCATAGTCATCATTCAGCTTCACTTCTCTCCAGGGAGAAGGATTCAATAAGGCAAGTTGGTTCAGCCTCAGGAAACAACCCGAACCTCCAGAACTCCGGTCAGGCCACAGAACCCTCTGGAAGAGAAAATGAGGCTAGCTAGGTATGAGCCCCCTTTATGTGCGAGTCTTCTACACTTTTTGGAGATTTTGAGGATGGAGATGGCAACAGTAAGTGAAATGTTTGCTTACCAGAAACTCTTGGTCCATAAAGTAGGGCTTTTCTGACGATCCATCATTTGTTTCCAGGTCAACAGCAAAACACAGAAAGAGGGCATCCAGCACAGTTTCAAACACGGATAAAAAACTCTGGGCTACAAAGTAGGCAAAAAAAGCAACGAGCAGCAGAGGGATCACCCACACCTGGAGTGCACGGTTGTAGTTAAATGCCATCAGTCCTCCAAAAACAGTGAAACATACCACCAACACCTGTCCGAAGAACAGTTTGTGGAAAATCTTTATAAATCGGGTGGTTAGAATATTAGAGAAATGATTTTTGGCAGTTATAAGTGATAATTTCATATACATCTGTATGTATATGTTTGTGCCCTATTACAAAGAACAACTGTTAGAAAATGTGGTAACAGTGAAATTAAAAAAAGAAGAGCCGTGATGATACCAAATGAAGGCCCAGTTAAAGTGGAGGAGGGGGAAGAGAGTAGATGTTACATTTCATCTGTGCCTAGTTGTTGTATTTATGTAGATGTAATGATACTTCAAAATTTTCAGTTTTTTCACTGATACCCCCATAAGCGTCTTCATTTAAAAACTTGGTAATAAGTGCCATTTTAAAATAATGGTGCAACAATTCATTGAGTGGATATCCTGTCATTTAATACATGACTTTTACCATAGGGATTAAAGTAGAATTCCAGTGCTGGTGTGGGGAGATAATAGGATTAATCCAGGCTTTTGCCTTATGTAATTATTTTCTAGGATCAGACTTATAGACCCATATGTACCTGATTCTTTAACAGATAAAATGGAGTCCATCTGGCATCCCCATTGCCCTTGGATAGCCAAAAAGATGGACATGAACGTGTGAATGCTACTTCATCAAGAAATACAGGAAAGAACATTATTATCTAAAATAAAAGATAAGTCTTTTAGAAAGACTAGTAAACACTTAAGTTTTTCTGGAAGTGGTTATTAGACAACATATCACCTGCAATCTTACCAAACTAACAAACAATATTACCCATTTAAATACAACCACATAGATTATTTAGGCTGTTTTGAAGGGCATAATCAGTTTGTGCTTCTAGAGCTACCATTGCATGAAAAATCTCTGGGGCCCAGCTGAGCCTTACAATATATGTGCAATTAACATACACCTGCGAAATCCACACACGTTATAACTTGTTACTGACAGTTAACTCTGACAGTAATGCACCAGGGGCCTGTACCAAAGGGCACAGAGGCACAAAATGCTAAATAAGCCAGGGGTCCTTACTGACTCTGGCCAGGTCACAACCAGAGATCAGGATCTTGTTTGCTTTGGGGCACCACTGAAGGCTTCAGCATTCAAGCCCTTGAGGACGAATGGTTGGAAGAAGCCAGCATGTCCAGCTTGGAATAGTGAAGACGTGGCAGGAAGGATAGGAGGTCTGTGGTCAAGAATCTGAAGGGCAGGCAACGAGTGGAAGTGGGATCAGGCAAACGGGTGTGTGGAATTAGGCCTGGTGGGTGACAGCCACATGGAAAGGGACACACCATGTGGCACAGTGTAAAGAACCTTCAACTTGAAGCACGGTCATGAGGGGCTATCATACCCCTTTCATCAAGATTTCAGTTACTCTTCCCTACAACCTAGAAAGGCCATGTGTTGTTACCTTTAGTTCAAATATAAAGACAGGTTCGGAGTTGCCAAAGACCCCAAGTTCAGGGCTTGTCCTTCACACCATGACATGCACTAGGATGCTCATTCACCACACTGCATACAAGACTACACACTATCCTTGAAAAATACTATTCAGATGGCAGTGGAGATACACCACTGGCTCCACCTAGGACATTCACAACCTGTCTTTCTATTTATGGACTTAATGCCCTTAAATAATACAGACCTTTTATTAGGCTCCAATACTATTTCCATTTATTTTATCACAACCCAGGGAATACATCCACTTTATGAGGCTAGTTGCATTTTCATTTTAGATCTGAAAAAGCGGGACTCCAAATGTTACAGAGAATTGGGCATAGCTAAGATTCAAATCCTGACTCTTCGTATTGAGGGATCTCAGACAAGTTATTAAGCTTCAGTTTTCTCATCTGCAAAATAAGGTGCCTCACAGGAGGAAGGATTAAATGACAGAATGAAGCCCAGCAGCCACCAGAGGGCAAGCACTCAGAAACATTCGTTTTCTTTCTGAACCTTGCTGTAGGGCTTAATGTTTGGATTCCAAGTTCCTTTATTTACTATTTTAGTGAAGACATCTCACCTTTCCTAGAAAAATGATGAAGTCTCCAAAGCATTGAACAGATGTTAAATGACTTGACTTCTTGGACAAGAGTTGGAGTGCACCTTGTGCTGATGTGCAAAAATCTGTTCCGTTAATGGCAGTTGTGGTGTACGCATTCTGAAACAAAAGATGAAAGATGAGGATTCCTGCACTGTTTCAGAGATAATACAATGACAACACAGACTTATTTGCAAAATAGAGAAAAATGGTTAGTATACACCCACCATCTCTACCTATAACAAATCATTTCATTTTCAAAGTCCCCTTCCTGATTATATACACATACATGTCCATCCAGTAGCAGTAAATAGAAAAAATAAACAAGTATTTCTGGTCGCTATGGTAGATGGGACATCCCACTACAAATACAAGGAAATGATGGGTAAAGCATAAACTTTTTTTTTTTTTTTTTAAATGCAGAGTTTGGGCACCTGGGTGGCTCAGGGGGTTAAAGCCTCTGCTTTCTGCTCAGGTCACGATCCCAGGGTCCTGGGATTGAGCCCTGCATCCAGCTCTCTGCTGGGCAAGGAGCCTACCTCCCTCTCTCTCTCTGCCTGCCTCTCTGCCTACTTGTGATTCTGTCAAATAAAATACTAATAATAATAAAAATTTTTAAAAATGCAGATGTGGTATATATACACAATGGAATACTATGCAGCCATCAAAAGAAATGAAATCTTGCCATTTGCGACGACGTGGATGGAACTAGAGGGTATCATGCTTAGCGAAATAAGTCAATCGGAGAAAGACAACTATCATATGATCTCCCTGATATGAGGGAGAGGAGATGCAACATGGGGGGTTAAGGGGGTAGGAGAAGAGTAAATGAAACAAGATGGGATTGGGAGGGAGACAAACCATAAGTGACTCTTAATCTCACAAAACAAACTGAGGGTTAATTGGGGGAGGGGGGGTGGGGGGGGGGTTATGGACCTTGGGGAGGGGAAGTTGTATGGTGAGTGCCGTGAAGTGTGTAAACCTGGCGATTCACAGACCTGTACCCCTGGGGATAAAAAGATATTATATGTTTATAAAAAATAAAATTAAAAAAAAAATGCAGAGTTTGAGGGCAGAGGAGGAAGTTGAGGGGCTAGAAACAAAGCAGACCCTAGCAGTTAATGAGAGCTGAATCCACAGGCTCCATGGGCAGGAAATCAGAAAAAGCCTTTAGAGGTAGGGACTGGGGACTTAACCCCTTAGGGTAAGAAACAATATTCAGGCCCTTTGCTAGGGAACTGAACTGCCAGCATAAATTCAGACTTAACTAACCATCCCGAGAAAGTGGTAGAGAAATACGGGATCTGCCTGGGGTCACTGAAATTACTAGAGTCTGGGCAGGAGCAAAGCAAAACCAATTCCTCGTAAGCCAGGGAATGGTGGAGTCCCACAGACAAACACCCCTGAAGACAACGAAGTAATGCTCCTAGGAAAACTCTTCCGATGGCCCATGGAAAATAACATCACAACAGACAAGAGATCTGTACCCTGAGAACAATCTGAAAGTATTCCAGAAAGTACGTTCAAATGCTAGGACAAACACTGGGCTGCCTTATAGGTAGAGCATGCAACTCTTGATCTTGGGGTTGTGAGTTTCAGCCCCACGTTAGGTGTCAAGATTAAAAATCCTAAAAAAAAAAAAAAAAAAAAAAAAAAAAATAGGGCGCCTGGGTGGCTCAGTCATTAAGCATCTGCCTTTGACTTAGGTCATGATCCCAGGGTCCTGGGATCAAGCCCCACATCAGGTTCCCTGCTCATTGGGAAGCCTGCTTGTCCTTCTCTCACGCCCCCTGCTTGTGTTCCCTCTCTCACTGTCTCTATCAAATTAAGTCAAATTTTTTAAAAAATAAAAGATCTTTAAAAAATAGAAAAGATGCTAAGACAAAGAATAGTGACCAAAGGAATGAACAGCTTGGTATGAAAAGAGAAGAGGCAGAGTCAAAAGCAAACAAAACAGAAAGTCTAGAAATGAAAATATATACAACTTAAGTGGTGCAGTGTCATTTTACACACCTGGCTTTTTTCCTTTAAATAATAAGCATTTTCATGTTGCTCCATGGCATTTATAATTTTAATTTTTAATATATATATATTGGGTGCGTGTGTGTAGCTAGGATATATCTAGACTTTTTCAAATATTTTGCTATTATAAAAACTATGCAGGGGGGCACCTGGGTGGCTCAGTGGGTTAAAGCCTCTGCCTTCGGCTCGGGTCATGATCCCAGGGTCCTGAGATCAAGCGCTGCATCGGGCTCTCTGCTCAAGAGGGAGCCTGCTTCCCCCTCTCTCCCTCTGCCTGCCTCTCTGCCTACTTGTGATCTCTCCCTCTGTCAAATAAATAAAATCTTGAAAAAAAAAAAAAAAAAAACTATGCAGGGGTGCCTGCGTGGCTCAGTTGGTTAAGCATCTGACCCTTGATTTCTGGCTCAGGACATGATCTCAGAGTTGTGGAATCCAGCCCTGTGAGGGGCTCTGCACTCAGCAGGGAGTCTGCTTGAGATTCTCTCCCTCTTCCACTACCCCTCCCCGACTTGCACACACTCCCTAAAAGAAATAAATCTTTAAAAAAACCCCAACAACTATGCAATGGACATCTTCATTTCTGGTTTTTGGATAATTTCTTAGGGATAAGTTTCCAGAAATGGGATCACTAAGTCAAAAAGGACAAGTGTATGCATTTGTGTGTTTTTATGTTCATGCAGGAAGATTTCTTGGATCTTTTTTTTTTTTCCAAAATATCTTCTTCTTATGACTACATAATTTCAAAACCATCTATTTCTTATATTTCCCTTTAAAACCTTTTATAAATGCTATTTGTACTGCAGTTTACAACACAGAATTTATAACTTCCCTGGGAAAAAACACTGTAATATTACCCTCTTGGGTTTTGTCATTTCTTGTGGCCTAGGAGAAGGACAAGTATTTCACAATATGCAAATGAATCTTTTCCTATGTCTACTCAAAAACATTGTAAGGAAACCAATTTGGAATCTATTACAATAACCCACCTCCCAGTGATGCAGGTCTTACTCAGAGTGCAGGTCTTACTTACTACTTATGACAGAGGAGATGGAGAATAAAGGGGTAGAACTAATTTACCAAACTCCCTCTTCACCAGGGCCAACTAGAAAGCAAGGTTTGGTTCTCAAAGACAAAGGCTGGGTACCCACCTCCCCTCACATGGTACTCTGCTTGCAGATGTCAGATGAATTCCCTGCAGAAATGCCTTAATGATATTCCATAAAGAACTTCTGTTTCATGATTTAGATAGAATGCATGTGAATTTTGCTTATAAAACCCCGAACTGGTTGTTGTAGAAAGCTAACCCCAGTGTGGGGGCTTCATTCTTGAGTAGGGATGTGAAAACTCATTTGCTCATTACTTAACTAAGCATCTTCAATCATTTAAAATTCTAAGAGCCCTGATGACCAGTTCATTATCCTGAAAATACATTTGTAGGGTGGATGGGTAAAGAACAGCGTCATCATTTTTTACAGACTGGAAACCAGGATCAAGGGCATTCTCCAGATCCCTGGTAAATCAGACAGACCCCCCCACCCCAACACACACACACCTTTAACTTTCTGGACATTACACTAACAACTTTCATTAGGACAAAATGCTATTTAAAAGCGTAGTGGTTAAGGTAGGCTCAGGCTCTGTCTCCGGATAGTCTCTGGGTTCAAATCCCAGTTCTACCACTACCTGGCTGTCAGTCTTGGGCAAATGATTTAACCTCTCTCTGACTTCAATTTCCTCATCTAGAAAGTGAGTTATGACACCTACTGCAAGGGGGTGTTGGGAGGATTAAAGAACATCCTCCCTATAAAACAGTCAGCAAAGCGCCAGGCACACAGTAAGCCTGTAGTCAAGGGGAGCTATTCTCATCCTGACATCAGCAAGGACAATCTCATTTACAGCTGGGAAACACAGGCCATCTCTTGGCACTGAGGAGGTGTGGAAAGGACCCACCATTTCTTTATCCCTAGGCTTTGATCCCTTGCACTCTCAGGGATCCAGGAAGGGCAGGACTTGCTTCCCAGACCACATTCCAGGGCCCAGTACCAGCCTTTCTCTGCAGCCGCTCAAACCATATGCAGCTCAGTGGCTTTCTCTGCATTTAGGCTCTGTCCCCAGCCTACCACCCACTCCCCACCTTTAAACTGGGGTTCTTAGTGTACTTCCCAGTCTATACTAGAGAATACAGGTTTTGCAGGGCCTTCCTTTTCCTGCCGATCACCACCTTGTGGTCAATGGAATGCTACCCTTCATGAGCAATAAAAATAGATTTTGCTTCTTGGCTAAAATGATTAAAAGTTAAAATGGTAATTTCTTGCACATGTGTTGACTCCGCAGATTTTTGGGGGCCTCTAACCATTTATCTTTTCTTTAATGTATCATGCCCACTGAAAGAGGGCATTAAAACCACTCTGACGGGGAAATTATAGATGCCTTCCTGCAGTTACTACACCACTAGTATTTTACCACAAGGTTCAACCCTGAGTGCAACAGAGAGACCTAGAATTAATGTCTGAATGAATAGCTGGAGGAGGGAAGCATCACTCAAGACACAGGATATGGATTGAGAATTTCTGCAGTTTCAGCATTAGCTAATTTATACTTCTTCTCAATAGAAGCTGCTTCCTTGTCAGGCAGCTGGAAGATGGATTACCTAAATGTTCAGTGTGGTAAGTCCTTGCTTGGAGCTTTTATATTTGCCTGTGCTGACAGAACTTGGGGTAGACATGCTAAGCTAATTTGCAGACCCTAACAATATGTGGAAAGGATTGGATATAATGAAGATTAGGTCACATGTTTTGTTGCTTGTGAAATTTAATCAGGGGATCCTGAAGGCTAATTCTTCAGCAAGAAAAGAGATAGTCACTTCACCCTCTTAATTTATTACCAGACAACATTCAGTGTGCATGTTTCTTTAGAGCACCCAAACAAGTGGATATTTCTGTGTCTTGAATGGAAAACAAAGATTCCCAGCTTGGTGCAGGAAGGGCAAGATGGCGGAGGGGTAGGGACCCTATTTCAACTGGTCCCCCGAACTGAGCTAAATATCTACCAGAACACTCTGAACACCCATGAAATCAGACTGTGATGTAAGATTATAC